TAGCAAGGATAGGGTTATGAATAGAGGGTGCTTAACCCTTTGCCGTAGTCCCATGTTACATAGGATTTAGTTCGGAATTGTTTCTTTTGAAACAACTTTCTTACAGGAAGTCTTTTCCTGCACTTGAAGGGTGGAGAATAAGCAAGCTGGGGTGAGAAAATGAAAAACAAAAGAACTTTTAAATAAAAATAGAAGTATTGCAAAACAAGGAAAGCTACTGTGGGAGGCTAGTGCCTAGTAGCAAGCCATGGCTCTGGGCTGGCATCAATGGCCTGGCCTCCCCACTCCAACCTACTGTAAGCGACCTCACACCGAGGCAGAAGGCAAAGACATCCTCCTTTAGAACCTGACCCAACTCTGCCATGACCTCAGTGCGTCTACACAGTTTGCCACACTTCTGGGGGACTTAGATTTACTTTCAAACAAATGATTCTCCTTTTTGCAAGCTCTCAGGCGAGACTGAACTTTAAAACCCCATGCTTAGCTCGGCCAGTGTGGGTGAGTGGTTGAGTGTCAACCTATGAACCAGGAGGTCAGGGTTTCAGGGTTCAATTCCCAGTCAGGGCACATGCTCAATCCTGGGAGGAGCGGGGGTGTGCAGGAGGCAGCTGATCAATGATTCTCATCATGAATGTTTATCTCTCTCTCCCTTCCTCTCTGAAGTCAATTTTTTTTTAAAAAAATCCCATGCTTATACTAAATGCTTTAACTTGGGTATGTGCTTCATAAGAAGCATCTGGGCCAAGCAGGCAACCTTTCCCACCCCATGTTAGCAGGATGGTATCCTATTTTTTTCAGTTTGCTATCCCTTACATTAGACTGAGCAGTAGGTGAGGCAAGTGTTCTTCCGTATTGCTAGCGAGGTACTGGTCTCTAAAGAGGTTACCATGACCGAGATCTGCAAGGGCAGAAGGAAACTGACACTGAGGCCTGTTGACCAGTTGAGCATTATTCCGAACTGCTACCAAAAAGCTGTCAAAACCTGGAGGTCACTGGGAACCTAGCCTCTTTTAGGAACTATATTCAACAAACTGCACCAAAGCCTCTACCACTACCCAGTTCAGACAAAAATGCAAGCTCTGGGCTTACTTGACAGGTGATGGCCTCCACTCGGTAAGGGTTGTACGACTTCTGACAAGTCCTGCAGAACTGCTTAAAGTAAACCTGTGATTCAAGAGAGAGAGAACGTAAAGCAAGCCCTCGGGACACCCCTGTCCGAAAGATGCCCGTCGTGTAGCTGCTTACCTTGTTGGTGCCCTGCACACACCACACATAGGCACTCTCCCAGCGGATGTTGCAGTCCTTGCAGTGATAATAGCCATATTTCTGCTCCAAGAACTGAAAAGGACACCAGAGTTTCAACCAACATGATATCAAATTGTTATCCTTCATTTCAGAGGCTGAGGAGCATCTATCTCCTACTTAACACTGGCAGCTTCATTCCAGTGGTGGAGGTAAGTAGGGTCAGGTTCGAATTAGGAAGGAATGAGGCGAGCGAATGGCCTAACTGAGCAGATATGCAAACATGGGCCTAAGACGGTTTACGTGCCAGGTTAACTGGGTTCATAAAGCAAATTAATTGACAAGGACCGAGTCGGTGTTTTCCCTCAGACGGGCAAGGGGAAAGCCAAACACCCAGGGTTCTCTACACCTCGGGTTCTTTCCGGAGGCCTCTTCGGTTGGATCAAGTGATTTTAGAACACAGACGTGGGGGTGGTTACGCTGAAGAACAGGAGTGAGACTCGGAGTCCTCAAGTACTTTCAGGTGTTCAGCCAAGATGACGTTCTCCAGGCTGCTAGTTCAACGCCTCGGAACAGTAGAGTAGGAATCCAAATGGTGGATAAGCCATAGCTCATGTGTAACATGAACAAAAGTACCACTGCCTTCCTCTTAAGCTGTCTTCCCTCCCAGGGAGAAACCAATAGCAAACAAGTCTTTGGAGTCAGGCCTTTCAAAGTGAAGGAAATTTGGGAGAGCGCTCAGCAACTTCACAGGTGAGCAAACTGAAGTCCGGGAAGGTTAAGAATTAAGATGCCACATAGTTAGTGCCCAGCCGGCGCGGCTCAGTGGTTCAGAGTCTATGAACTAGGACAGTGGTTCTCAACCTTCCTAATGCCGAGACCCTTTAATAGAGTTTCTCATGTTGTGGTGACCCCCAACTATAACATTATTTTCGTTGCTACTTCATAACTGTAATTTTGCTACTGTTATGAATCGTAATGTAAATCTGATATGCAGGATGTATTTTCATTGTTACAAACTGAACATAATTAAGGCATAGTGATAATCACAAAAACAATATGTAATTATATATGTGTTTTCCGATGGTCTTAGGCGACCCCTGTGAAAGGGTGGGTCGACCCCCAAAGGGGTCGCGACCCACAGGTTGAGAATCGCTGATCTAGGAGGTCCCGGTTTGATTCCCGGTCAGGGCACATGCCAGGGTTGCAGTCCCTAGTAAGGGGTGTGCAGGAGGCAACCGATCAATGATTCTCTCTCATCATTGATGTTTCTGTCTCTCCATCTCCCTTCCTCGCTGAAATAATTTTTTTTTAAAAGATTGCACATAGCCTGTGTATAAATTCTAGATTCACTCCTCTCCGCCCCCCCCACCCCTCCCGTGGCCTCTTGTACCTACCATGCCTTCCCACTCCCTGGGTTACAGCTGTCGGCAGTGGACGCCAGGCCTTTGGGGTTCAGCTAGTGGGGACTGGCCCTCCTAGCCTGCCATACCCAACAGCCCAAATGCTTCCGCACTCATGTTTCTGAGTGGAGGTGCCTTTAGGAGCCAGGACAGACCCTGAGAGAGGCGCTACAGCGGCTCTAGCTTCCAGCGGAAGCTTTGGGAAACCCAGCAAGAATCAGAGGCGAGGTGAACAGCACCCCAGTAGTCGACTGTTGTGGCTTTTGCCATTCAATTGAGAAAAGTGGGTGGGATCCTTGGGCATGAACTCTCCCGCCAGCAAGCCCACCTTCTGATGCCCCCCGCCCCCACCCCTGTACCCACCTAGATCGTCCACACCGGGCAACGTGCCCACGATCGGCGTTTAGACAGCAAATACGCCCAGAATACGGACGTTTGAAGGGCGTCTCCCTCGCCAACCTCGGCGCCGGCGTTTTCAATCACAATCAGGCTACAATTAATTTACTCTTGGAGGCGGATGACGCCCGCTGCTGCCAGAGGCTGCGCAAGGCCCCCGACGTCCCCGCGCCTAGGAAAGCCTGGCGCCTCCACGCGCCCAGAGCGGA